GAACCAGGTGGGGCGGGCGGCAGGTGGAGCGCGCCCTGCAGGCGCTGGCACGTGGGGGCTGGCGCCAGGCTTCGAAGGCTTGAGTAGCATCCACTCTGTCATCCCCGCGGCAGCCACACCATCACCTGCGCTGCTTACAGGGCGAGGACGGCAAGTGCGCCTCGACTGCCGCCGTGCTGAACGTCACCACGCTGCGCGTGCCTGGCTTCGGCCACGTGCCCTACCTGGCTGGCAGCGAGCATGCCAAGATGGCGGTGTGCGTGGGCCTGCGGCAGTCGGGTGCGCGGGTGGAATGGGGTGTGCTGCCTGCAGTCAAAGAGGGTCGCTCACTGCTGGGGCGTGTGCTGCACAACGCCCACAACCTGTTGACTTTGAACCGTTCCCGCTGCCGCAGACGCCCCTCCGCGACCGCTGGTGGTTGTGGGCGACCTGAACAACACGATGCCGCAGCAGCGGGCACTTGTTATTGCACAGTTATTGCACAGTTATTGCACAGAATGCTCGACACAGTCGTCTCCTTCACTCTCTCAGAGGCGCTAGCAGTGGCAGCGGCCGTCGGCCTGTTTCTGGGCCTGTTCTCGGCAGCAGCTCTCCTCGTGCTCCTGCGATGGGTGGAGAAGCGCCTGGTAGAGGCGCGGCCCGGCGGCGACAGCCGCCCCCCGCGGCATGCCGAACCCAGTGTTCGGCACGTGCCGCTCGAGGGCAGCTTGCAGCCTGCGCGGGACCCAGCGCCACCCACAGGCGAGCAGACAGCTGAGATTGCGGTGATAGGGCTCCCCGGCTTGGCAGCGGAGGCTGCCGCTGGATGCCTTCCCACACACGAGCATGCCTGCAGACGCCTTTGCGGCTGGCTGCACGCCTTCTACAGCATGTCAGTCAGCGGCGTGCGGGTGCAGCGGGTGTGGATCACGCGGAATGGGCGGATGGCGCTTGAGGCGTCGCTGCCCGCCGCCATGGCTGCTACTGTGCTGGCTGGCAGCAAGCGGCTCAAGGGTACTGGGATCACCCTTGGGCCCGTCCTCAGCCCCAGCGAGCTGCGCGAACGGGAGGCGCGCAGGCAGCAGCAGCCACAGCCCACCCCGGTCCCGCCCCAGCCTGGCCGACAGCGCCGTGCGCAGCGCTCCAAGGGTCTAACGCGGCAGCACGGAGGCGCGGCGAGCAGCCGCCGCCGCCACCGCTTGCCGGCGGCACGGTGCAGCAGCAGCAGCAGCAACCACCACCGCCGCCCGACGGCGGCAGGAGGGAGCAGCAGCAGCCACCGCCGCCGCCTGACGGCGGCGGCGAGCAGCCACCACGTGCGCACGCCACCCCTGCCGTGGCCCCCCACCCGCAGCAGCCGGCCCCCACCGTGTCACCGCCCTCACCACCGGCGGCACAGTGGCCGCCCTTGGCCAGTGCCGTGGTTCCTTTAGCGGCGGCCCCGCCTGCTGCCCCGCCTAACCCCAAGTCGCCTGCGGCAGACGAGCGGCCCGAATCCTCAACTGCGCGGCGGCGACGCCAGCGGCGGGAGACGGCGGCGAGGCACCAGGCGGAGGCCGCCACCTCCACACCCTCATCTCGTGCCCCATCCCCAGTCGAGGTGGCCCCTGAGCACGTCTTGACGGCCCTGCCCAGGCGGTCGGCTCGGCTGGCCCGGGGTTGAGCTTATCCGGCGCTTCATTAAATGCCTCTTGCTATCTTTATGCAGATGCCCACCGTGTGTATTGCTTGGGGCATGCAGCTTATAATTTTGGGTGGGTTTTGTATTTGCTGCAATGTTGTGTACAGCTCTACCCCCCATACCTGAATCTCTTCCCTCATGTGTTTTGTGTTGGTGCATACTTTTCCAGCTGTTTGGCACCACAGCTGGGCCCGTAGCATTCATTTGCTCCTTATGGGTGTAACAGACAGACAGACAGGTGCGGTTTGTGACGGGCAGCAGCAGGCGTGTTTGTCTCTGCGTAGAAACGGCCA